GAGACAGCCATTCGTCCGTCAGTCAGGGAACGTAGCCAGGCTTTTGTTGTATTCAATGTAGACGCGCGACATCGCGGCTGCCGGTTGTCACGCAAAGTGCAGGGTATAAAATGCATTTAAAAGGGAATTGCGATGCATAAAATGACGAAAGCGTGGTAAATGCGAGCTATTACTGCCACCAATGCTGAYAACTAAGTGCTTTGTTCGTGCCGCCAACGCTGGCCAGTTGCGTCCTTGTGCGTGCGTATGTGCACGTGGATAAGTGGCGGCGTGGTGTTCTGCTGGCGGAAGTTGTTAAGACGAACGGCAAAGCCAGCTGGAAGCGCTGAACCCACAATGGCGGTTGCATTTCCATTGCACTACAAAATGCTCAAGTATCATTGGTGTCGTAAATGCGGAGTTTATGCCACAATATGCCAAGTGCTGCGTAAGGAGAAGCGTGCTGAAATATGCAACGTTAAGCGGTATTACTGCCAAATTTGCACGATATATCCAATTTTAAATAAAAAGGATTTGAAATTATAGTGTCTTAACATTTCTTATTTCAAGTTAATAAYTTCTTCTTTGCGTATTAACACTTCAAATAATTAAAATATTTCAGCAAATTGCATAAATTTACCTGTCAGTGTAGGGAGTTCGTTATTTTCWAATTTTTTTTTCCTACGTTAGTATGACTGTCAGTAACATCTGCACCACTGGTAAAAATTATTCAGAGAGGTTCGAAAACGGATGACGACTTGTCCTGGACGGTTATCAAAATCAACGGATGTTTAATACGTCATTAAAATAAAGAAATTTGTCGACGTTAAGGAGTTAGGGGTAGTCAGAATTTTTCAAAAATTATTTGTTTTTTTTTTGCATTTTCGTTCAGGGTAATATCTTAAAAATATTCTCTCAAATTTTCCCGTTGATTCGATAATTAGTTTTTGAGTTATTCGACAAATAACAAAGAGCGCTCGGGCACTTCAAAGCGCTAGTGTGAAACTTTAAACGCGGTTTCCTCAAACTATTTTTTTTGAACTGGTGACAACAGTAACTCGGAAATCGCTCAGTACATTTTAATGAAATTTGTACAGCTTTTAGAATACATAATAAACTCGCGCCAGATTGGAGGATTATTTTTTTTCAAAAACTTCGTTTTTTAAGACCAATTTTGATTGATTTTGAGACCAATTTGGTTGATTTTTTGGAAAAAATTGATAAAAAAATTTCATAAGGTCGCCATTTTATTAATTTTGGAAAAAAAAACAATACTTCCTTCAGGCCCAGGATTATCTATTTATAAAACTATTTTTTCCTGTCCGATTGATTTTAGATGAATCTCCAAGGACTTATGGTTGTCACCGCAAGTACCTTTTTTGGGAATAGGGTCAACACAAACAACTATAACTTAGGAAATTAAAAATTTTTTTTTCGAAATTTTCGTGACTTTAAGTCAACACATTCAATAATAATGTCACATTACTACTTTTGTAAAATTTAATAGCAAAAAAAAAAAACAAAAAAAAAAAATACTGAAAACTCTAATTTTTTCGTGCCTCTGACTACCCCTACCCACTTAAGAGTTTTCTAGAGAAAGGTTCACGGCAAATGGATGAGATATACGACTGTATGAGATATATGACGGCATTGAAATAATTCGGCGCATTAAAAGACAGCGGCTACGCCATTTTGTTCGAATGGACGAAAACCCTCCATCTCTGAGGAATAGACCTCCACTCTATTGGAACGACCAGGTGGAGGCGCTAGGTGGCGGCTATAATCGCGTAACCGGTGTCTCCAGTAAACAAGAAAAAAAACCACTCCTAAGGAACTTTGTGAGAGTAAATATAAAAAGTATTAAAGAAAAAAAAAAAACCAAGTAAGGAAGGGCTAAGTTCGCGTGTCACCGAACATTTTATACTCTCGCATGATAAAGTGATAATCGAGATTTCAGGCGTGGTTGTAAACCCATTTCATCCATATTTGGTACATGTCATCAGGGTGTTAAGAAAATTTTATATACCGAATTTCATTGAAATCGGTAGAGTACTTCCTGAGATATGGTGTTTGGTCCATAAGTGGGCGATGCCACGCCCATTTTGAATTTTTAAAAAAGGCCTGGATGCAGCTTAATTCTGACACTTCTTCCGTAAAATTGAGTGTTTCTGACATTTTTGTTAGTCGGTTAACGCACTTTTAGTGGTTTTCAACATAACCTTTGTATGGGAGGTGGGCGTGGTTATTATCCGATATCTTCCATTTTGAACTGTATATGGAAATGCCTAAAAGAAACATAACATTGACATAGCTATAGTAGTTTTTGAGATATGTACAAAGTACTCAATAGGAGGCGGGCCCACGCCCACTTTTCCAAAAAAATTACGTCCAAATATGCCCCTCCCTAATGCGATCCTTTGTGCCAAATTTCATTTTAATATTTTTATTTATGGCTTAGTTAGCCATTTTGTGGGTGTGGCAGTGGGCCGATTTTGCGCATCTTCGAACTTAACCTTCTTATGGAGCCAAGAAATACGTGTACTCATTTTTGGTCAAGTTACAGCTTGCACGGACGGACGGACAGACGGACAGACGGACGGACAGACAGACATCCGGATTTCAACTCTACTCGTCACCCTGATCACTTTGGTATATATAACCCTATATCTGACTCTTTTAGYTTTAGGACTTACAAACAACCGTTATGTGAACAAAACTATAATACTCTCTTTAGCAACTTTGTTGCGAGAGTGTAAAAAAACGCGAATATCAGTATCCGCCGATGATCTAAAAGATGAAATGGAAAAAGAAGAGAATCAGTTTAAGAAATTTTTTTAAATTTTCAGTGGTACAGCTGTGCAATATATCTGACAAAAGCTTTGAAAAATAGTTTATGTAGATTAYATTTATTGTCTTCTTTACTTTATAAACAGTAAGTAAAATACTTTCATTAAAAAACATKTTTGATTAATTTGTAGTTAGTATAGATTTCTCTTAATTATTTAATTTTCAATTGTAGAGATTTGCACATAAATTTATTGATTGAATGTGGAAACAACACTCATATAATTTTTCACTATTTACTGCCCTTGGCCAAAGACATCAAGAGCTTGGCACTCAATCCACGCTTCACCACCTTAAAACGCGTTTTATAACCATTTTTRTCGGCTGTATATAGCGTCATTGTCTCAGTATCGCTCTGCTCGTCGTAGGCGGTGTACATACCCATTATCACCAATTCCTCATCCGCAGTGCCGGAATTCATAATAACACCAATCTCCTCACGTACACTGCCATTCGGYTCCTCCTGCCTAGGTTCAACAAAAATGACAGTTAATGTGTTCAAATATTTATAGACTTGTATGCGAGTTACTTGAATCGATAGCCCTCCTTTGTGGGCACCTGACTGTAGTACATGGTGATGAATCCAGGATAAATATAGTCCAACATTTGTGTATTTGCGGAGAGCAAAGAGCTGATAAGAATTGATGCCGTCAAAAGCTTTATGATGACAAAAATAATTGAGTTATAAAAGTTCATTTGTTTAAGAATTCTTATTGCGAAAGATCATAAATATGCAAGGAGATTTTCTATTACGTGTCTTGAGCTTGAGCAATACTAGTGCCGGTTACATGKGTTTCCTCGAGCAAAACCAAAACACTCTTTTTTAACAATTTTTTTCTTATATAAATATATACTATTAGCATTTTTTATTGTTACAAACGTGCACTATTAAAAACAAACTCTGAAATTTTCGAAAAAAGAAATTGTAAACTCGGCCATTGAGACGACGTTTCGGGTGACCTCGTGGAAAAAAGATGCGCCCGGCAGAATAACTTTCTTCAGGATCATCTTAGGTAAAGAATACATATTTTAGTAAAACCCTTAAATTAGAACTTGAACAAACTAAACAAAACTGAAAATTGGATTTTTGGCAGACATTTTCACAAAAAAATAAAATTTCGCATTATTTTTYCCCAAAAAGTTGTAATCGAAAAAAATGCTATTCTTTACGAATTGTCTCTCAAAGGCCTGTGTAAAAGTAGTTTTCGATAAATTTTGCCAACCGACTTCAAAAACACAGTTTCGAGAAAAGCGTGTTTAAAGACGTCGCACTTAGCCCTAGCTACCCTCGATCGTACCAGTTCTACAGGCTGTGTTTCCGAAACGATTACTCGAATCGAACTATGAAAATTTGGGACTTTTACTTTCACTTAATAAGATAATAAAAAATTCGATGTTTTGAAACTCGTTAAGCCATGTAACCCCTAAAATATAGAGAACTAGCTTTCATACGCAATATACTTTTAGAAGGTGAAAGGTGTGGCATTATCACTTTTTCGTCATTTTAATGTTTGTAGAAGAACATAGGGCACGGCAGCTTATTCAAAGATGTCTTAATCTACAACAAAAATTTTTTGTAATTCCATTAGAAATCGAAAAGTTACTCTGTAGAATTCTATAATTCGAGTGACAATTCGGTTCTAGAACAGGACCGTCGGTCTAATAATATGAAAGTGGCGCACAAAGCTATAAACGAATATATTTGACAGATAACAACTCTTAATAGAATCACTTTCCTTATCCCTTTGAAATGTCAAACAATATTTTCTCATTATGTCGTGCTCTTGCAGTAATTACTTCTCATCTTTAATATAGCATATTTCGCCCAATAACGAAAATTAATTGAAATTAACTTTGTAGTATTGGATAATGTTTTCCTTGTAATACAATATAAGATTTAACACATTCAATAGTTTTTGTAGCTGATCGCCAAGCTCTTCTAGAAGATCACTTACCAACTTTACGGACACCATTTCGCACTGTATTACGTTGAAGATGAAACGAAGACTGAAGCATTGCAAAAAGAGGCGTTGACACGAAGGTTTCCAAAACATATGTCATTGAATTCATCACTTCAGATATGCATCATTGTAATTTGCAAGTGGATAGACTCATACACTGACGAGTGGTAAAAATGCAGTCTTTTGTAAGGCAATAAAGTTTCTACCAATTGTCAAAACAAGTGGCGAATCGAACAACGAATGTTGTGAATCATATAAAGCGACTTAYCTGTAAATTTTTTGACCAGAGCTGAGCTCAAGCATAGCAGGCRAAGAAATAACAACTCAATATATACTTACTTTTAACTCAAATTGTATTTTACTTTATTCCACTGTAAATAGACAAATATATGCAAAGCAAATACGTAACCTCGAGGTAAACAGGTGGGTCCAACAATCCTACTGTGGCGATATGCAGATTTGAAAATCATCTTTTGATGTTGTAATAAATAATCAACTGATATACTCCGTTCTTAGCGATTTTATTGATTATTTTTAAATTGTACAAGCTTGAAGACAGTGTGATAGAAATGTACACCTGCTATCACAAGAGATCAATTAATAACGTCTTTAATTGCAMTTGCTTTTGAAGTGTCATGTTCCAGTCATGCAGTGCATATCTATGAAGAACTGATGCTCTGTACATCGAACAGTAACGACAACAGCAATATTCCACCTTAATTATTGACCTATTCTTCACAATTTCTCGTTACCTCCGTTTGCCAACGCGTGATCCAAAATTACCCAATAACTGTAGRAGTATTCTTTTGAAACAAATATTTGTAATAATCTGTCGAAAAATTGAGAGAGTATGCTTGGTATGTAAGCTTCCTACCATCCCATTAGATAATTAAATAAAACTGGCCAGGCACTCGGAAAATACTATATATTTGGTTGTCAAAAAAGTCTTGCGGTATTTTTATTGAATTTTCAATTGTTCATAAAATTTTTTTTGATGACTCATGCCCAGCTCCTGACCAATGCTACGGCTGCTACTATGCCGGTCTCTTTCGACCAATTCAGCGATTTTATCGACAGGCCTTCCGGAGCATGGCACATCTTCGACCACCTCTACACCAGAACGAAAACGTTGAAACCATCGTTGTGCGGTGGAAATGGTAACTGTATCGGGTCCATAAGTTGTCAGCGCGTGAAATGAGCTTTCCAAAAAGGTATAGCATGACCCGATGCGACGAATAAAACTGGAACTACGCGCTCTCAGCGCCAACTAGCGAAAATACCGCAAGACTTTTTTGACAACCTAATATTTCAAGTTCTTTAAAAATCGAGAGTTTCTAGCAAAACATGCATATGCACATATCTATGAAAAACAAATCTCTTTTGCTTTTTATGAGTGAATAATATTTACCTAATACGCTTTCTGGTTTGGCCACATGTTAAGTCACCAAGATCGCGAAGACGACAGAAATGACCTTCCAGCTAACAACTAGTTCGCTCGAATATGCAAATATTATATTTTATATACCTGTACATGCGCATTCAATTAGCAATAAATATTAAAAATATTGATTAAGCAAATTTAATAATTAAATGATAGACATATATTTCAGGGCTCTTTGGAATGAAAGCGAACAATTATTAATTTAAGGTAGATATTTTCTTCTTTCTATTCATGACATACAAGGTGCGTTCCAAAGTAAACTTTATGAATCTAGCGCTTCCTGGTGGCGCCATCTTTATTTCGACTAGTGCGTTAGAATCTGCAATCGATTGCCCAGTGAGATGGCATTTCATTGATTGGAAGTGAAGTTAATGCGTTTTAAGTGYCAGTAAGTAAACATTAAATTTTTCAAAGTTAAATCAMAYGATATGAACTCGACCAAATAGTATWYAATTGAACTTTTTTACATAATTCATTATACTACTTTTTCGTCTTTAATAGTATATCTAATTATATTCGCGCACTTCGTTTTACCAATATTTTTTACGAATTGAATGATATATACTGTAAGAAGCCAAATTTAAGTTATATGAGGTCTGTGAAAGTATCCCACCCGTTTCTGACACAGGGTATTATTACCGGAAAAATACTCTCTAAATTTCAATAGCATATCTCACAAATATATCGCTATTTTCAGTAAGAAGCCAACTAGAGGAACGTTAATCCACATATTCGATAAATGAAATTTTAAAATATTGTGGTTTGATTTTGAAAACTTTTAGGCATGTACTAACTTACCTTCAGAGCACTATTTGTGCACAGCTTTATGACAATATCTGTATTGGTGCTGGGGTTTTATACTATCAGAGGGGAGAGGGATCAGCTAATCGTCCAATTTTTACACTACTTTCTCTGAAACTCCTAAGTACATAGTAATATATGGGGAGTAGACGTAGCTATCATATGACTTCATCAAAAGAATCCTTCTCCTCAGTATACTTGTTCGTTTTAACTTCATTTTGAGAGATAGGTGCTTTAAAGCTAGTTTGTAACGTGAATTGAAGCTTGGTTATATTACTTTGATAATGATATTTTGTA